ACAAAAAAAAAAAAAAACCTTTCACTGAGTTTTTGTGTTAATTTAATCATCAGCCTCATTGACAGAGTGTAACAGAAGACAATTTGCCTCAATTTTAATGGCATCATTATTACCATGATTACAATTATCCTCATCAGCTGTCCTACAATCAAATCTACTTTCTGCTTTGGATACATGAATTTGTGTATATGAATCTACACATGTCTATGTAAATATGCAAAAGAAATAAGTTGACAACTCTATTTTGCTTACCATCCACTGCCACCAAGATGGCGGTCTGGCCTTGCATCTCGTGCTTCATCATCTCTTCATCTATTTCAGGAGTGATTACGAGACCCTGTTTTTGCATCCATTGACGATTGCCGATCAGAACCTCGTATGATTTGGAGGCCATGGCACCAATAGGCTCTGATATAAAACCAATAAGTTAGCAACAATGTGAAATAGTAGAGAGCATTGTTTAAATTTCTCATTCAATATATACCATCTGCTATGGTCACCACCCACCTAAAATTAATACAACTGATGTGAAATTTAAGGTAGTGGTGATGTGTTGTTTCAATTTCAATAATTATCAATTATCATTAATTATTAGTATCTAGAATATAACTTTTTAAAAGGCTAGAGTATGTAGGATCATTCAAGGATAATTTCCATTATGTTGGTAGCCTAGTTTTTTTTTTTTTTCAAATTTTTTTTGGGGGGGGGGGCTTAAACCCTAATCTCCTGTGGCCTTGAATGGAAGAATTTTCCACTTTTCTGTTCAAATGTCTAGTGCCTGGAGGGTTATCATTCTAAAATCTAAATCATATATACCTTCTGCTTTCCCCTCCACTCCCTCCACTCCATCTACTACCACCGTCTCTGAGTTGAGGATATTTCTCACATCCACATTGTCCTTCATAGCTTCCACATTGGTGACTGAACATTTAATTCCATATCCTGACACCGCTTCAAAGTCACTGGTGTTACCCACATTCTCACATTTTAATGCCTAACAAAAAATAATAAAAAGTGAAAATTATTGAAAAATTGACTGGACGGACTAGGGAAAAAAAGGCTGTGGCCATGCTGAATTTTTACTATCTCCATCACAAAGAATTTATTCATCAAAAAACAGTTTCACATCACAAACCATTAAATCTCCTCTTCAGAAGAACTGTTTCAGCTGTACATCTTACAAGCTTTACAGCCAACAGCTGTTAACACGTAGCTCACCTCTTTCACGTATCTGACAATGGCGTCTCCAATGGGGTGCTCACTGCTGCCCTCCGCTGTCCCAGTGACTGCCAGTAGTTCCTTCAGTGACAGCACCTCTTGTCTGACAAACATGACAATTCTGGTCACCTCGGGGACACCATGGGTGATGGTACCAGTCTTGTCAAATACTATACTCTTCACCTATTGGATATACACATTTATTGTTTTTATTTATTTATTATAAATTTTATTTTTGTACTTTAAATATTGGAGGGAATAATGACACAAAGACTTAATCACAATAAATAAATAAATAATAATGTCCACCAAAACTATAATCTAGTTAATGTTGGTTCTATCATTTATTATCCATTATATTTTTGTACTTGAGATATTGCAGGGAATGATGACACAAAAACATTTAGCACCATGAATACATAAATAAATTTTTCAGTAAATAAATGATGGCCACTAAATCTATAATCTAGTTATAACTGTATACCTTGTGTGCCACCTCCAATGGCTGCCCCCCTTTCAGCAGTATCCCGCTGGTGGCCCCTATTCCTGTCCCCACCATTACTGCCGTGGGGGTCGCCAGTCCCAGAGCACAAGGACACGCTACCGCCAACACAGTGATGGCGTACTGAAAGGCATTGGCCAAGATGACTTCATCCCTGCTACGGTCACTACCCTCCTGAAATAAGATTGTTAGCTTATTAGAAGCACTGAAATATCATGATCATCATGATCATCATTATCAATACCATTTTCATTGTTATTATTTTTATACATATTTCTTGAAATACATAGTGGCATATTTTCAGTAACATACTACAAAATGCAGTGAAAGGTCATTATTATTACCATAATAATTATAATCAATTTTAATGATAAGCATAATCATCATTTTTAATAGTCCATATTGTCGACATACCACAAAATCTTTATGTATGAGGTCAAAGTTCACATATCCCACAATGATCCAGGAGACCAGGGTAATGGTGGATGCAGTGATCACTCCTGGAATGAACACACTGGATATCTTGTCTGCAAGTGCTTGAAGGGGGGCCTGGGAGAGAAAAGAAGTTACAACTAGAGTGTACTTTAGGGCACAGACCTCTATCAATGAAAAAGACAATTACTATAGTATTATATATATATATATATATATAGATGTATTAGGAGACTTAGATTCATCCCTTTTTTTTCCAAATATTACATCAATATTTGTGAAGAAAATTTTTGAGATATCTTGTTTGTTGACAAAAAGACATACCAAGGTTCAAGCAAATTTAATATACCATCCCTCCTTAAAGGTAACTATTGGAATAGCACTCAGTTCAATTGAACTTTGAAGCAGTATAACTTGCGCAAGACAGTCACAAAAGATCAGGATTATAATATATTTTTCCCTTAATTTAAATATCTACTATTGTTTTTAACTATACTTTTCAGAGTAATATGCAAGAGAGATTTTCTAGATGGTTGCAAAATATTAGTTTTCACTGTTAAGCAATTTTTATTCTCCTTATGTTAAAGCAATAATAACTCTTCCTTTGAGATTCAAAATTCTGCAAGAAATACATCGTAAACAACGCCTGGAAATATATTCTATTGCATTTTCCCACTAAAACGACTGTTATTGTAGTAAAACTAAAATCTGTGCTTGTCACTTGGGCTTTCGATGCCTTTCTTCGCGGTCGACAAGTGCATCCGTTGCCAATGACGTTTAGGTGTCACGCAGATTCTCGCGTTCATTCGAGACCAAAATAACATGGCGGGAAACCCTCAGACGTAAGTTGCGAGTTTTTGTACAGTGCGTCGGATAACGAAAAGCCCAGAATTGCACACATTGTAGATATAAATGCATTTTGAGCAAAAAGACGAATATATCTTACGAATCTTATAATATTGTTATATAGTGTTATTGTTGTCTGCTTTTCCCGCGGTTTTAAGTAGGTCACCAGAAACTATCGCTCGATACGAGAGGGCTCCGTCAGTTAAAATCTCTTAAGAGATTTAAACAAAAAACTGTACGTTTAGGAAAAAAAATCCTGGATTAACTTTGAATGCAGGAATGGGGTCGTTGACCATTGGCAAGTATGGGAAAATTGCCATTTTTTTCCAGGAAAATCGTATTTTTGGCCAAAACGAAGAGTTATTATGACTTTAAGCAATATACTTTGATAAGTGAAGCACTAAATCAAAATTTCTTTTCCTCTTTCCAGTTTGTTAACTTACTTTGGATGTCTGTGCCTCCTCCACCAGTTTAATAATCTGCGCTAGGGCACTGTCACTGCCTACATGGATAGCTTCCATTATCAGGGCACCATTCTGATTTATTGATCCACCAATCACATTGCAACCTGAAAGAAAAATGTTACAAAAGACATATTGATGACTTCTATTTCAATCTATATTTATTTGTATATGTACATAGAGGGAACCTAGATTTATATGGAAAGCTCTTAATCATCACCGACAAGTTGTAAGCCATCTTTACCTGGTTCTTTAAAAACAGGCATAGACTCCCCAGTGATCAATGACTCATCACAACTTGACTTGCCATCCACAACTCGACCATCAACTGGAATTTTCTCACCAGGTGTCACTCGTAGCAAGTCTCCGCGCTGAACTAGCTCCACGGGTATTTTCTCTTCGTTCATGATATTTCCATCTTTGTCGCGTTCCACGAGAGTTGCCTCTGCGGGTTGCAGGGACATAAGCTTGGTCATGGCCTCAGAGGTCTTGCCCTGGTATCAAAGTCAGGAGAAAAACTCAATTTGAATTTTTCCACGATAAGAAAGCAACTTAAAGTAAAGTAATCTCTTACATACAAACAATTGCTCAACCAACAAGTTTTGGGTATTTCCACCTAAGACTTATTAGTATAATAATATTGTTTTTATAATCACAGCACAACACTATACCATGATTCTATCAAACTGCACTAATGGGTTAATCAGGGGATATGACTAAATAATAATTAAACACCCTTCTTCCAAAGTAAAGACAAAAGCAAGCTCAGAAAGGTATAAAGCCATCTGCTGGATTTTCCAAAGCCCACTGCCGTAGTTTTTCTTCTTTTTTGCTCCTATAAAATAAGGGGCCCAAGTTCCCTACCTCCACAATATGCGACAGCCACCTCCCTAATGCAATAAATGTAACCAACATGGGCGTGGTCTCAAAGAATGTCATAGGGCTGGCGCGGGTCTGTTGTATCATGGCAGCAGTTATTACTCCAAGAGAGTAACAATAGGCTATGGTCGTTGCCATGACAATAAGGACGTCCATGTTGGTAGTGCGATGCCGAAGTGCTTTGAAGGCTTGGATGTAGAAGTATCTTTCTCCAATAAACTGAAATGCAATATAACAAAATTACAGCTTTTTGTCAAGTAATTTCCCATTTTCTAAGCAAATTAATGCTTATCTGTGATTGGAGCTTGAAAGTTGAAGTGCAAATCATAACTCCTTCAGAAAAAGTACAAGAGTTCAAAAATATTTACACAACATATCAATGCGATGGTACACATGAAGAATACGATATATGGCATACGTACATTTATAAGTAAGACTTTCTAAAGCATCAACTCTGGGATGAGAAATACTTAAAACTTTTAAAGAAGCAAATGCCTCCCCTGCCTTAATTTCATCTAAAAATTACTTCATCTAACACAATTTTTACACACTGAAATCTAGATGCTGTCTAATTTTTGATTTTTCCAAAGAATAAGGGTAAAAACAGCATTTTGGACTCTACATATTTTATACTGAATTCCTCTTCTCAATACAATGCTCACCTGTACTGGTGTGGCAAATATAAAGAAAAGCAAATTGTCCAAGCTCAAGCCAGGAATGATCCGGATGTCATGGGGGTTGATCAGGCCATCCGTTGTATTCCCAGCTCCGTGGGGTGGAGTAGGCCACCCCCCAGGGATCTTGGTGATTGAGAAGAAAATGACCGTCAACAGGGTGGGGACGCCAAAGATCAGAGATATGAAGAAAGAGTTGCGCCAGCTAGACAAAAAAAAAAAAAATAATAATAATAATAATGATAAATAAATAAATAAATAAATAAATAAATAAATAATAATAAAAGTAAAAAATCAATAATGTTGAAAAATATCTCTTAAATAATTGTTGAAAATAGCTCTTAAATTAGATTGCTTACAATGTAAAATGGGAGATATTTATTACTGATGTTTAATTTGTATCAGTGTTAACAAATTTTTTACCAAATATCCTCTTCCTGCACAAATGAGTATCTTTACAAAGATTCTTGAAATGCATCCATCCCAGTGAAAGAAGTTTTGTAATGAAAAATAGCGGAATTATAATTATCATGCTGTTTAAAATTTTTCTTTCAATATTTCTGTTCTAGAAATAAAGTGCTTGCCTTTTCTTTTTCCTTTCCAATTCCAGTTGGGCTAAATTCTTACTGTCACTGGTGAAGATTTTGGCCTCATAACCCAGTGACTGAAAATATGCATGGTACACAAGATAAAAGATACCTGTAATAAACTTGTAAACTTTCTAGATGTTTCTGCTCCACTAGTTTGATTTTTTTTAAAGAAAATGTATCAAAAGGCAGATAACTTGAGATGAACTGTCAACTTACTTCAGAAAAATAAGGATTTTCATCTGCCTATAGCTATTTATTAGCTAATAGTGGTAACAAATATAAATAAAATTGCACAAAATCAGAACCATTACTGTAATACGATAATCAAAATAAATAATTCAAGCTAAATATTGGTTATATTACCTCAATATGCCGGATGATATCTCTTGCTCCAGTGACTTCTGGGTCAAATTCGAATTTCCCCCTGGAGGTTGTCAAGGCAACGGAGGCAGATTTAACGCCCCGTTTCTTCATAACATGATCCTCAATCTTGCCAACACATGAAGCACAAGTCATTCCAGAAATCTGAGAAATTTAAGATATGATATAAGAATATATGGACGATCTTGAAATATATACAGAACAAATAACGAATAACAAAAATATGATCAATAATTTGTTGTTTACAACTAAGGATGAAAAATTTATTTGAATAGAACAGAAAACCAACTTAAACTTCAATTCATTTGGTTATTAGAAACTTGTTTCAATTAGTTTTAGCCAAAAATAAGACAAAACCCACATTTTTGTTTTTCTGGTTTCAAAGATTTAAAGAACTGGTTAAATTTATATTGCAGCAAAAAATTTAGCCACTCTCATAATGGAGATGGAGACTGCTGAACATAACTGAAGATGGTAAAAAATAGAAATTAAAGCCTGAAATAAAGACTTAAAGATAATTTTTTCTGGGTCAACAGTTCATAATACAGCAAAGCTTCATGGCAAAAGAAAAATCTCTCAATGTCTAGTAAAATTCACTTTAAATATTTTAAATAAAGGCAAAATGTGCACTGTACACAAGTAAAGAAAAAACCAGGACAATTAACTTACAAACAGTTCTACGTGTCCCCCAGTGGCTTCTTGTAGGACTGTAGTTTCATATCCTAGGTCAGTGATTTTCTTGGCTATTGTCTCTGGATTCAGCAACTCTGGGTCGTAGGTCACTTCTGCTTTCTGAGCCAGTAAGGCAACCAGAATGGTTTCAATGCCTGTAAGTTTAAAAAAATATAAAACTGCAAAATACTACATGGTCACTTTTGTTTAAATTATATGAAGATAATAGCAAAAGCATAATTTGAGTCATGCTGAACTCTGGGACATATTTCACCTCAGATCTTTCTTCAGAAAATTTATCTGAAAGTTGTCATTCTATCACACATTGTTAAATATACAGATATATAAATGAAAAGCGTAAGTGTAATTCTAAGTAGGTATTAAGACATGTAATAATTTGAAAATATTTCTAAAAATGCAAAACATAAATCAATACATATACACTGGCAGATCCTGGTCATTTTTGACACCTTCACCCCGCACCCTATTCTGAACTTGCCATTCTGTACATATAAAAGAGAGGGGGCAATGTCCTTCAAAACACATGCATGATCAAATAAAAAACACATTCAAGGATTCTGACATACCTTCTACCTTGGCCATAGTACGTTCAATGTTAGCCACACAGGAAGCGCATGTCATTCCTCTCACATTAAACAAGGCTTTATGGTACTTTCCATCTTCACGAGGTTGTGTTGGCTGGCGACGACGGACACTGCCCTTGCTGCGCCGCAGGCTTGCATTACGTTCAATGACTTTTGGTTTGGCAACAACACTGGCATTTTTCTTTACATCTGATGGATAAAGAAATGAATATTGCACTGATTTTATAAAAAAGTTAACAAATTAACCCTTAAAATGTAAAAACGTCTGTTGTTAAGATGACAACATTCATAATACACGGAAGAAAACATTTTAAAGGACATTTAAAATAACAATACTAAATCAACTAAAAACTAAACACAAAGTAGCAGTTCTTTTTCTTGTAAAAATTTTTCTAAATTTAAACTGAAGTCACATGTATGTGGTTTAGGAAATAGTATTTTCTGTTTGAAATATTTCAAAAATAATCATGAATTAGGCAATGAAATATAATTTTTTGTCTAAAAAAATATGTGAGATGTCCCTGTGGTGATTCCCTTAATAGTTACCTTTAATGGATGCACCAAATCCAAGCCCTTGAATTTTAGCACATATCTGATCTGCACTTATGTGTGCGGGATTGTGCTGCACAGTAGCCTCTTTTTCAACCAGTGACACTTTCACACTTCCCACTCCAATGACATCCCCCAGCTCACCCTCGATCTTCTTCACGCATGACTGACAGGTCATTCCAGATATGACAATATTGGAAGTGATTAATTTGGAAGACTTCTGGATCTGACCTTCATCACACTTGCTGTCGGCAACCACCTCTGCATCGTAACCCATGTCAGAAATATCCTCAGCAAGCTGCCTTGGGTCTGTGGTCTCTGGATCAAAGGTTATGTCAGCTCTCCCTTTTTCCAAGGAAACTTTAATCTTCACCACGCCTGGCTTCTCAGAGATCACTTGCTCGATGAGGTCAACACAAGAATGACACGTCATACCCTTCACGTCTACGGTGCATGATTTCTCTGAACAGGTTGGGACCGGCTCCTCTTGGGGCACCTGCGTCAACAATCTTGCCTCGTAACCCATATCATCAATGTATCCAGCCAACAAGCTGGCAGTGGTCACTTTTGGATCATACTGGATCACCCCTTGACCTTTCTCCAGGCTGACCACTATGGACTTCACCCCACTCTTTTCTCCGATGGTGTCTTCAATGAGTTTTACACACGAATTACAAGTCATCCCTTGTATATCTATGGTGGCAGAGGAGAGAGGTTGGGGAGGCTTTCTCAAAGAAGCTGGGAAACCTAATGCTCCAATGGCATCTCGGAGGTTGACAGAGCTTATCTGGGTTGGATTATGCCTGCAGTCAAAGGAGATGTTATCATAATTTTGTTTATTTGTATAATAACTAAAAACGAAAGGTTTTAAATTGTACTTGAATCAAAGTTATCAAGCCTTGGTTGCAGAAAATATGCATTAACTGCACATGTGGATAATTTGAACTGTCAATGAAATAATCCAATTATAACTGACATTAATTTTCTACCTGGTGCACTGAAACAGGAAAATATGCAAAAAAAAAAATCACAGCAAATGAAAACAAGTCAGGAATTTATCATAATTACATTCAGATGGATATGGTTCAGGTCATTTTACCTGACAGTAACACTGCCCATGGCCAGAGACACCTTGACAGCAGTCACTCCATCCAGCCTGCCTAGGGCATCTTCAATCTTCTTCACACAGTCTCCACAGGTCATGTGGTCAGCAAACAGAGTGACCTCCTGGACAGGGGTCTGGGTGGCTTTGGGATGTGCCTGGAGGTGTTAAACAAGTGCTTTATCAATACAAAGGGACATTCTAGATTAAACAGGATAGACTGTTAAATGTAAGGTATTCAGTTATAAAAATTGTCTGTTAATTGGCTTAATTTTAAATTGCAAATTTTTAGCTGATATCATAATTTGTATATATTAATATCATAAAGATAGGCAGTAAAGTGTAAGGTGTCCAGTAATAAAACTTGTCTTTTTATTGGCATAATTTTATATGCAATTTTTTGTTGAAAGCATAATTTGTAGTGTTTAAAAATGAAAAATTGCTGAGCCTTATTAAATTACCTTTTATTTACCAAATTTATAATACTTATATAATTATAAAATTCATTGTATCCAAGGTATACATCGTCCCATACATCATTTATAATTATAATATCAGTCGAGAAATCTTAGTTACATACTTTAAATGCAGCGTCCAATCCCTGGATATCTGACAGGATCTGATCCACCGAGATGGTCCCAGGGTCAAAAGTGACCACTCCTTCCTTGTCCTCCAGGGAAACCTAAATTGAGAAATTCAATTAAAAATATTTAAAGAGAAGAACATAATAAAAAAAATTAACTGCAAATGAATGACCTAAACATCACTTGAACAGCAGAGGAGAAAATTGGTTTGTATCATGATTAATTAAAGTAAAAAAAAATCATTTCAATAATTATGATTTAATTTTGTAAGTGTAAATTGGTGTGATAATAAATTATGTATCAGAGAGAGAGAGGGAGAGAGAATGCTACCTCACACCTACGGGACCTACATTCATAATAAATCTAGTAACATGACAAAATATCATGCCATATTTACCTGCACATTTCCTATGCCCTTCTTGTTTTTCAATGCATCTTCTATCTTTTTGGGACACTTCTGGCAGTACATACCATCAATGATGGCTACCAGAGTTTTAGTACTCATCATGATGAGACCAACAATCTGAAATTAAAAAGAAGTAAATTAGATGAAAACTTTACCCTATTAAAATTTCTGCAATCACTGGCCAAGTTAACGAGAGGTTAGTGGGGATTGAGTAATCTTACCATCAAGTCTGAAAAATGCCAACTACGTCATTGTCATGTTTATCAGACATGACAGCATTTTGAAAAAGTGAAAGTGAAAGTCCTGAATCATAAACTCAGGCTTAGCATAATGAAAACTCTGAGATTGCACAAACATTCAAGACACTGTGAAATGTTTAAGGAGTAGGATGTTTAACTTGTTGTGGTGAATATTCAACTTTTATTTATTTCAATAATTTTTGTTTTTTACCAAAGAGGAGGCTTACTGAACCAACCCCTATTCTTTCACCTATTCTTTCAACCCCTATTCTAAAAGGCACTATACTTAATAACAGTCATGTTGAAAAGTTTCATCAGGTATTTTTAAAATCCCACTAGAAATTAACGTAAAAGACCTTTTCCAAACAGTAAAAAAAATTCTGTCTGCTGCTGGCAGTCCTACTTCATCAGGGACTATGAGCAGACAGAATATTAGGCAGTTTAAGCGCTAGTATCAATATTTCTCAAGCTAACTGACAACATAAATTCTCCATGTTTCTCTAGATAACATTCAGAAATTTGTATAGGGCACCTGCCTTATATAATCACACAGAATGGTCACCTGATCAAACTGATATGGCCTTTGTACTTGGAGATGTCACAAACAGATCACTGACCCAGGCTATAACCACCAGCCCTATCTTGTCACTGTACTCTGTAAACACATCAGTGGCATGTTATTTATCACACAGGACAGTGCCACCAATCTCACAGTGACACTGCTAAATTTTAAAACTGATCAAAGCTAGTCACTTATGATGCATTATTGTCGTAGAAAAAATTGGGCAGATTTCTAATATATGGCACAGCGAGTGTGTCACTGTGTAAGAAAGTGGGTGTTATACATGAATGTTATAGAATCAAGAAGCAGCTCATAGACTTTAATAATATGTCCATACAACACTGAACAAGAGAGGCATAGCTCAACACATCAGTTATATAAAAACATCATATATATTATATACAATTTCAATCTAAAATCACATACGGCAGTTAAAATTCTAAACATGACCCCCATACTAGTAACAAGGCCAGTACTAGTAGAAGGTCAGGAGATGACTTATCTGTATATATATCTATCCGATTTTCATGTCCTGAATCCGCCTCTTACACCACAATAATGTGAACAAGACTAATACAGGGTGACCCCCCCCAAAATAGATCCCATAAAGTTTTTATGGAGTTTTTATCTGTGGGGGTATCTCAAGGATAATGTGTACCACAAACAACCCTTTAACAATTGGTGAACTACTAGTAATGCAAATAAGCGACCAAGATAACTGAAACTTTGGGAGTATAATCATGCACATATTGAACTAAATCCAGCCTCTATATTATAACGCACTTGTACATGTATGTCGCATACAGTGGACAACTCGTGTTGTAACTAGTATTTAAATTATGTAAAGGTTTTCTACCAGTGATGATTATATGGGCAGCACTGCAAAATGCCAGTATATCCATCTAGACTTAAGTAATAACACAATTAAGGCAGCTTAATTAAATAAACTAAATACATAGTAAAGTACATAGTCTGCGGTACAATTTTATATAACAATAAAATGACATTTTGTTTCTCCAACACCTTCATTATTAATACAGATCATCAGCAATCAGCAGCAACTGATACTTGTTACATAGAAAAGTTTGCAGCTGGAATTAAACATCCAAATATAATAATAATCAAAGATTTATTTCTGATGTACTTCATAAGCACACTTAGGCTTAGTATGCTAATTGAATCTAATCTAGCATTTTAATCAAATGAACCATTTAATCACAGTCATTTCAGTAAATAACACAGGTAATTAAATGCAGTCAGTGTTACTTCTGGTTATTGTTAGAAAGGAGAAACCAAGGCTTGATAATATCTCTAGTGGCCCTCACTATTTTTGCCGTTTCTCAGATAAGAAATATTTAACATTTCAAATCAAAATTCACTTTTACTCATATTCTTGGCCAAGTATTTGTAAACATATACAGGAGCGGATTCAGAGATATTTTCTGACAGTCTTCCAAATTATCATTGTTGCTCCGTTCTTCATTTTTGACCGTCTTCCGACAGAAAAAATTAGATACCCGTCAAAATTAGATACCCGTCCGGAAGACCCAGAAGACGCCCTGAATCCGCCCCTGATATAATATAATATAGACCTTGGCCAAGTATTTGTAAACATATAATATGAACCATATGTAATGAGCCAAGAGGAAGTCTCTTCCAAAATACATGACTGGGAACACGTGTATGCCTTGACAGGCTGTGACAATAATCTAGTTGTAAAAATACACGTCATCCATAAGCTTGCTCTGTGCACACATGTAGGGCGAAAGATGGATACGTCCACTACTTGGATTTCCCATAATCAAGTAATTCCTCTACTGTGCTCTTACCTTTGGTGGGTAGCCTGCTGTGGAGCACATTGAACTCCATGCTGTTTATCTATTTTGTCTACTGACAACAACACACCTTACTTTTCTACATTTTATAGGTTTTCCTCAAGGTCTAAGCATATTTACAAGAAATACAGAATATAACATTGATCATAAGACACTAATGAAACACCCATCAAAAGATAATTAATCCGTTTTCAAACTCACATGGCAAGTATTCACTCACGTTATTGCTCTTCTCTGCCCAGTGATAACAACATGACCTACTTTCAAGAAAATGCAAGTCATGTGACCTTTCAGATGTCAATATCGAATACGTCACACACAGCTAGAATTGTACAAGCGAAAATAATAATAATAATATGTCATTTGGTATGAAATGATTTTACATTAATAAGCTGTCTAAACTATTGTCAATTACAACCCCCTTGCTGTTCATAGGCCCATATATACATGTAGACTTTTGGTATAAAACAAAATGCCTGGTATAATTTCTCCGTGTTACGGCCCCAAACCCCGTAGGCGTATAAGGTAGTATATCACTTGTTTTGTCGGTTCCAACTAGGTTATCAAATTATATTAAAACTTACTGTTTGGCTCTGATATTGTTCCGCAGAAATTACTAATAAAGGTTTATTGTGTTCTTTGCAATATATAAGACATATATTGAATGTATATGTATAAAAGTATAAAGATGTAGTACTAAAATAGAGCTTTAAGGCCGGTGATAGGGTTAAATACGCTTAAAATCATGTTTTTGAGTTTTTTGTGTGTTTATATTAATCAAAAAAGTATCTAACGTTGGATGTAATAATTTTTATGAATTTGCATCGCAAAATGTGTCTTTTGATAAGTTTTTCAACCGGCACGCGCCCCAGTCAGGCTGACAACTAAGCCACGCCTCTGTTACTAAGGGCCGTTGCCATGAGGGGGTCGGAGCACAGTTAATGAGTTATAAGCCGATTACGTGTGCGGTAATAGGTCATAAGTCTTACATCAGCTTAGCAGCGAAGAAGTCTAGCTAGTACACTATGGGGAAGAGAAAAGTTCGTGTTAAAAGTCCCTTTCCAGAGGAAAGAAGGAAAATTTTGAGAGTAAGGCCTATGCGTGGCGGTTGGGGAAAACCGGCCCTATTTGTTCAGTCGAATGACTGATTTCTGTATACCTAATAAATGGGTGAAAGAGTTAATCGAATCGCCTAAATTAATTGACAAATGAAAGAAAAATCGATAAACAAATTTAAAAAAAACGCTAAAAAGGATACTTTTAGCCTAGCTTTTAATTTTTGCGATATATATCGGCGAGCGTATCTGCGACACGTTACGAAACCGGAAATGATTGTTGGTCGCCGTTTGCAAAAGGTAAATCTAATGTTGACAAAATAAAATTTTATTCTCCAAGATATGATATCATGGAGCTTGAGAGAAACGCGAAAAATTGTGATGTGCATGGCCAAACGAGAGAAATCCAAGCAAGGGCTGACAGCATGATTAAAACAAGAAAAATAAAAACGCATGTTAGCGGCTTTGCATTTTGTGATGTTTGGAGAAAATTAATTTCAAAATCACTGATCAAGCGGGAAGAAAGAGTTCAAAATGTATCCAAAAATGAAAATCACAAAAAGACCCCGAAAATAGTCAAGACTAGCAGGTAAAAAGCAAATAGGGTCTAAGTGTCATGTGTGTAAAAATAAAATATTTATTCAAAAGCCTTCTCTCAGCCACTTTTACCGTTGAATCTTGCGCAGCTGAGCGTCTCCCCTTTATCTTAGCTGGCATTTTGAGAAATACTGCTATGAAGTAATCACTGGATTTTTCCGTTGATCTGACGATTACCAAGTGTCGTGCAAAATAATCCTGCAGCGTTACCCGTCAAAAAACTCGTATTAACACAAGTGACGGACACTTGCTCTCGACACAGTTTTATCTGATCACTTTGCCGATAACAAAGAAGGAATCTCTCAGGTAAAATTACTCGATTGCCGAGGAAGAGCCATTGAAACGTTCAAATGCAACTTCACACCTCTTAATTGCGGTTAAACGTAATCGCCTTTGTTAGCGCTTCCTTCTACATATCCTTGACACCCTACGGGGCATCACTAGGCTAGGGCCCTCTCCAGAGCTGTCAATCAAAATGGCTGCACGCTTACATNATTTAGTAAAAAGCCATGGACCCATCTGAGTAATACTGGAGGTACTCCATAGCTGCAGAGCTTGCCTAGCAAAATATTGTGGTCTATTAAATCAAACGCTTTTCTAAAATCAAGTAATAAAACCCGAGACTGTGCCCCATGAGTGTCACTGGCCTTGGCCCAGTAAATTACACCTGTAAATATGAAACAAAGTGCAAATTATTTAACAATGCTATCACAGCAAAACGAACGGCGACAGCATGAACGAGTACAAACATTAATATTGGATAGGGGGCCTATTATATATATACCGACACTGGCCCAGTGACGCCCGCGATCTCTGAAGGTTAAAGGAACAGTTTCCGACAAAAGACAAAGAAATGATTTTTTAAATTGAAAGAAGAGCAAATATGATGAAAAATACATGTTACATGTAGAGCCCATGGCA